ACAATAGCATTATTTATTCAATAAGGAAAAACAATATTAAGCTTTCTATTTAATGCCCATTCTACTAGGTGCGTGTGTATTTGTCAGTGTGTATGTATATGTGTGAGTGTATGTGACAAAAATGTGTTAATATAAGGTCGTTAATACATACTCCAATCTAATGCGTTATCGAATAGATTTTATTAGTCTTTCTGTCTCTATATAATTGAGTATCTTAAGCCAGTCGATTAGGGTTTCTTTACAGTGATAGTGATTCATGGGATATTATAGTTTATATATCCAATTTTTTTATTATAAAAAGGTTATTATAAAAATTGTTAACCTGATTGTCGTATTGTATAGCAGCAAAGGTTGTGTGAGTAATTAAGGTAGGAATAACTTTATACTTTCTTCTTTTATTTAATATAGTGGGGTCATATGACAGTGACTTATGCAATTTAAATTTACAATTTAGAATATATAATTTTCTTACAGACAGTATACTACTAAGGTTATGAAGTTTATCAGTAAAAAATCTGTAAGGTAAAAAAATGAGCTTAAGCAGGCATCTTTGTGTTTTTTCCAACTCCAAAAAATTTACATTGATACCGTTTTACACAAATGTCTTGTTTATTATGGACACTAATAATTTTATATGTTTCGTTTGTGAATATAAACTCATCGTAAATCTCTACAGTTAATTCATAGAAATCAGGTTTCTAGTCAGTTTCTTAGGAATATGGTAATTCTTTTAAATAAATAATATTTACTGCGTATTTATCCTGGACTATTGCCTGATTTTTTTTTTATAAGATTCCGAATAAGACGTGTGTAAATCTTTACCGAAATTGTCAGTCCTAATCATGAACAAAGTATGAAGGAGAACCAATTCGATTTTAATTGTATTTTGAAACCTTTAAATATAAAAAAATAAAAGTGTTATTTTATCTCGGTACGATAATCATATTATTATATTTTTAAAACAAACATTCCATATCAAAGGTCAAATAAAAAGCATTAGGTAATTTTTATATTTATTCGTAACACGATTAAGTACTTGTTCTCTGGGGTGCGACCGCCTAACTCGTAGACGTAGCCGTAGTCGTAGCTATAACCTACGCTTTATAGGTTTTATACATGAATCTGTTGATATTGTTTTAAAATTAATTATTTTCTATTATTTACAAATTTAATCAATGCTTTTAGTTGTTTTTGTTTGCTGAATTATTAAAGTTAAACGAAAAACAAACCAAAATATTTGATGAAATATATAAATAAAAAAAAAACAATTAATTTTAAATGAATATAAACAGATTCATTAGAAATATCGATAAAGCGTAGGTTATAGCTACGACTAAGGCAACGTCCATGAGTTAGGCGGTCGCGCCGCTGATCTTGAATCTTTCTGAGTGTTGATGATAGAAATGAGCCAAATGAACCATTAATCGATTCGAATCTTTGCTCTGATTCTGATGCATATGATCCGATCTTTAAAAAGATACATTTTTCGCAGTACTATTATGAATTCAGTATTAAATAGATACAGATTTGTGTCCATTAAGTATTCTTCAAAGTTTCTACACGCAATAATCGCATAATCGCATTTTCAGGATCATTGGTTTTTTTTGCGACGATTCTATTATGCCGTTTAGAAGTACTGTAGTTATTTTATATTTAACATTACCTATTTAAAGTAAGTACATTTTTAAATTTTACATTAAATTTTGAACTGTCTGGACGTTTAAACGATTACAAATGTTTTAATTTCATGTCTTCTAACATTAAAAGTTTTAATTATCAATTAATCGTTACATTTTTATCTTAAATTTATATTCAATTGTTAATTTTTATGCTCCTAATATTATTTATTATTAAATATTATGCTATTTAATTAGAATAGTCGAACTAGGGAGATATGAATTATACTTCCAGTGTGTGTAAAGTTATATTTTACATTAATTTTGTTTGTTCATGGCAACTACTTCGAAACATTATACACAGAATAGTGTTTCGTATTATTGAAGAAAATTAACGATTAGGTGTGTAGAAGCTATATTATTGCACATAGACAACAAAATATTATGAAGTAAATGGATTGATGTATAATCTTATTTTATTTAAGAAGTGGCGCCTTGTTTGTCCATAGAAATAGTCCATTTTCAATAACGGGGGCCTTAAGATTGATGGGTTATCGTAATCATGGCGTATCAATGGCGTTATTTTAACATTTCTTGTCACTATAAAAATTATACACAATAATAAAGTGTTATTTAATAATAATATAAAAGCATCGGAAAAAAAAAATTAAAACGTAATTAGGACGCCATTATTACGTTATCATTTTCTGATTTAAGCAAGGAGAATAGAGATAAGGCTTGATATTGTATAAGTACATACCTTGTTGTATATTACCGTATTGTTAAAAATATTAAATAAAAAATACACACTGAAAGCATGAATTGTTGAAAGTGCTTTGTTTTAAGATAACAATATTTAAAAAACGTGTCATATAATATTTGATCTTTAATTGTAGTTTAGAGTGCTGTGTGTTTTTCATTGACATATATTTTTAAATTTAAGAAATAATTCAAGAAATATTGTTACTTAATTAGCTAATTATTATTATTTTTTTCCAATAATTTTGTAAGATATTTTCTGTCTTTCAATCCTATCGTTATGGAAATTGTGCGGTGGGATCTAAGATCTAAAATATATCTATAATCATTTAAAATATGCAGAACTGCAATTGAAACCTATTTAATTATTAGGAATCAACAACTTATGTAATCCTTGATAAATAAAGTATGCTTATACCAATTTGCAGTATTTAATAAAATAAAGATGTAAGTAACTTGAAGTTCCTTGAATTTATCTAAATCATAGATTAATGTTTTAAGAATGAACGAAAGCAAAGATAAATTATGGCTCCGAGCAAGTGCTTTTCAATTATATCAAATTTCATGTTTATTTGTTTATTTATAATAATGATTAATTATGCGAGAAATAAATCTATAAAAATTAATTCTTAAATTTGTTTAGACACAATCCCGTTACTATTTTGGCACTGATCTATCAGTGACTCTCAAACTTGTTGGGTGATGGAACTATTTTAGAAAATCAAAATTTCACGGAGTCCTAAAATAAAAGAAACCGTAGTTTAATATGTAGGCACTGTTTATTAATAACCAAAAATATTAATATATATTTACGTATTCTAATGACTAATAGTTAAATTAGGAATATTTCGTTGTTTTTTACCTTGCAACTTTAAAGTATTCATTTTAAATGGAACCAATAGTTTCACAGAGCTTTAAGTAAATTGGTTTAAGCACACTTAAGTTGATAAAAAGTTGCTTGTTTTAATCGATACTTTGAAAATATCTTACTATACAATTGATATAATGATAATATTTTATAAATAACGTATTTATATTGTATAACTAATATTATATAAAGATTATATTAATAAAACATTTGTTAGGTACTTTAAGAGTAAGTTCGAAAATTGTTTCATCTCTATATTGATACACAGGTGCTGGTGCCTAATTAGACCCGCAGTTTTTGTTTGTTGGAGTGCTAAAAAGCCAATCGAATCAATCTTAATTACAGTCCTGCACCGATTGGTCAGTAAGTTTTAGCTTTGCCAGCATTCAAAAAGAGTTGGCCTTATTAGACAACATTACCTTATATTAGATTTAATAAATTTGATATATTTTATGTACAAAATTTTACTAAAAGGCATATAGATTAATAGTTATTTCAAATATACCATGGTCCTTTAATAATATCTATACAATTACATCTATTTTACAAATGTCAGTCCTTATTGCCCTATAGAAAGTGGTTCTTTTCGGAAATAAATGAGTATTTCTTCAAAATTCATCTCTATCTAATTGTCATAAAATATACAATTTATGTTATTAATTATTGATAAAAATTTACACGCACGATATATTAAAAAAAATTGAAATAATACGATGGCTTTGGGTAACTTGATATAATGTTATGTAACTGTTTTCATGATTCAGGTTCATTCATTTATCAACATCGCTTTTGACACTTTATTCTACAACAAAAAGACAACATCAACAGATTTCTTCAATGGTTAAAGATTTGCATAATTATTTAATAGAATCCGAACTAAATGAATCCTATCGATTATAGGCATTCATATAAATCCTTTAAGAAGTTTTCAATCACTGTGCTAATCTCATAATATTATGATTCAATTTTATTTCCACGGCAAAGGGTTGACATTTATAAAATAGAATCTAGAAGCTTATCTTGAATACAAATTATGACAAATTGGGGTTCACTGAAATTGTCAGAATCATAAAAAGTTAATAAAGAAAGTCATCATCGATATAATTTTAAATATTATTTTCTGGGAAAAAATTCATGAAATAAATTTAACAGGTACGAATTAAATAATTACATATATCTTTAGATAATTCTACCTTACAATATAGTTATTTCGATTGAATACATAAGGATTTCAATAAAAATACACATTTCGTACCTTTTTTTTAATGAAATTCATAGCAATTTTAAATACATTAATAATACAAAACTTGTATTATTAGCTATAATAATACAAGTTTTACAGTTGCTCCTTTTCTCCTATATTTTTTTTTCTTTCAATAGAACAGAATACTATAAAAATTGCATCATAAATGTTCAATCAAAAATCTGAATACCTCTTGAAATCGGTTTTATTTGATCGAACCTCTAAACTATGACCATGTTGTGCTCCATGTTGCGTTCGACGCTGTTTTATAATTGAATAGAATAGCTAAGCAGAACGAACGTAATATCAACGTAATAAGGCATGAATAGGTAAACATGATTTTACAGAAAAAAATAACAAAGAACTTAACCCAATAACCTTTGACTACCTACTATAGAATAATATGATGTAACTTCAAATTGATAATACTTTTATATAATAAGTTTGTTATTTATTATGTGTATTTTTATATCAATTCCGTATGCGTATTTTGACTAGAATTTCGTTGCCATATTTATGCTAGGTTGATGTTAACACCGACACCTGCGACGAAGTCATCGCGTATTAAAGGCAGTAAGGCGGTGTGTCTGGGAACAAGAAAAATATAACACTATAGAAATAACCAGACATCTCTAGAAAAAAAAATGTTGCCCAAAAGAAATACTGTTTTTTTCTTCACAATATTAAAAACGTTTTTGCAACAATTGGTATGAGCGTAATGGTTGGAAAAACAGGCTTACTCACTCATGAGGCGCGGGCCAGGCGGGCGCGTGCTTGTGTGTGGCAGCCCTGGCGCGGGCGAGCAGGGTCATCACCGCGCGTTTAGTCGGCGACATGGCGGCTCGCGCGCCTCCCAGCAGCGGCCGCTTGCGTGCTGCGCTCGTAGCCGCCCCAGCCGCACCTGCGACCACACACATCTAAAATACGATTTTTTATTCGACTCAGTAGAGCAGCCCTTCTCAAAGTGGGCAATAACGCCCCAAGCCCCAACGGCGGCAAAATACTCAGAAGAAAAATAGGGGCGTTGTGTAGAGGTATTGGGAGGTGATTTGTAATTTCATACGAGTACTCTTCGACACTGACTGAGCTTTCGACCCGGTATAGCCCACCCCCTTTTTGGCCAATTAGCAAGGCGTTGTGACTAACGCATAAGTCAACATATAACTTCACCTTGAACGGTTTTTGAAATATTGCAGTATGGTCAATTTAATACCGTTGATAACTATGAGTTATGAAGTTCATTTCCTCTTAACTCTTAAATTGGTCAAAACCAGGTAAATTTCCAAAAGGTTTTTTCATCGGTCGAAATTGATATATCTACAACGCGAAAGTGGAAGGATAGTTTGTCTCTAGGGTGAAAAAAAAAGACATTGACCCAAAGTATTACGTATCGCTATCTATAAAAGTCTGTAACTGTTTTCCCAGAGTACTGCTTTTTATTGTACCGGTCGATATATGGCGTTTTCAAGAACTACACATCTTGCTATTCTTTAAAAATGTTGTATTTAAATACGAACTCTTTTATAGAATAGTAAGGTAGATAGATACTTTACTCGCAGTCAGAGCAAAATTTAGTTTTTGTTCAAACTATCGCAATAATGGCGTCTTAATGGCGTACCGAAACCACTGTTAGTGTTTCTTGCAGAGATACACACTAGCAAACAGACGGTTTCATTATAATATAAATAGACGACATCACACACATTTCCCATAAGATCCCAAGTTTTGTAGCTAAAGTACTTCTGTTATGTTAATCTGAAACAACGAAGGCATTACAACATTCATAGCCCGAGTTTATATAGAAAATATCATTTTCTATATTGCCCTGAAATCGAACTCGGAACCTCAGAGATGGCAATACTTTGACACAAATATAAAAAAGACTTCCGTGGCCGTGTTAAGGCCGTAAAGTTTATTTTTTATGTTTAAGTAAATAAAATTCTCGCTATTACATAATATGTTTTTGACAATTCTGCTAAATTTCTTTTTGATTAACGAACAATAATTTTTTTTTATCATGGTTGGATTATTTCACATGTTTGTAAATTAAAACAGCTATTTGGTATTCATAGCAGGCTTTTGCCTTCTTAGCTGTACAGAATTTTTAATTAAGATATTTTTTTCAATAGTAAAATAATAGACTATTTCATATTTGGGTACATGTAACATCATATAATGAAAATTGCAAACACAATATGAAATGTATTTGATACTAGTTATTTAAGTTATTTCCTATTATAAAAATTGAAAAACAAAATCATTGTAATGTTTTAGTGAAAAGATATTATAAATAACTAGGCCGTATCAGCACGATGCCATTGCTTTAAAGCCTGTTAAAAAAAGAAAAATAGAATTAAAGTAGTCATACTGCTAGCAATAGTTTTTCTTTTTACAAAACAAGAAAATTTTGTTATGTTTTTTTTTGTTATAAGCGAGTTTTGTTAGTAATCACAAAGCTGACCTACCAGAGATTTCCAATTAGGAAGTCGTACAAATTATACATTTCAATTTTATAAAATTGCGTTTCGTTTTTTGCTTTATTATTAGTTATCGGAAATACTACACTGGCCTTCGATTTTCTCATCGAGTTTCAAAAGCCGTGGTTTTCCTCAACGTTATACTTAATTGGAAAAGAAAATTTTGTCACATAACATCAAAACCATTGTTCGAATTTCCATTACCTATGTAATAGTACTTCGTGTGTTCATAAGATTGAGGCAAACTTTTTACTGAAAAATAAATGAGATTTTACTGGCTGTTATTCATTTTTTACGGATTTTGAATTTAGAAAATTAACTTTTAGTTTATTTGTATCGCAAATTCATTTGCTTATATTTCTCTCTCTATAATCTCCTACAATCATTCATAGCACAGAAAAGGCATTATGATCGGAGCATTGGTGTGTATTCGAAATTAGTTCTTGGAATGTTTGGAAAAATGGAAACTATGTCACCGTTAAGTGCACTAAATAAAAAACGAGTCAATACAGTTGGTGAAAATTAAGAATGTTACGCACGTGTGTACTACACATTAAACGGAAAAAGAACATATACTCCCATTTTGGTCTTGTACTCTTTCTTTTTATCATTATACAAACGACAGGCATGATAATATAGGTATAAATAAATGATAGGTTATAAATCTCTTTTTCTGATCTTAAAGCTAATTAAGGGAAAAGGGATGGATTAACGAGAAAGGATTAGAATAGGAACAGTTTTGAATTACATATTCGATTTACGAATGTATTGTTTCTTTTGCATTACCCCCAAAACTAATACGTATGTTGTATAATAAAAATTAGATTTTTTTAAAACAAGCTTTTATTTGTGCGCCCCAAAGCGTAAATAAATAAATTCTAAACATTGAAAGTACTTAAAACCAATTTTTCAACTTGATCAACTTGAAAATCGGAGACGAGGAAACACACACATTTTTTACGCGCTACAAGCTTTGTAAGTCAATTAGTGTTAGAGAAAATTTTGATTATAAATACTTTAAATGTTTAGAATTTAATTATTTACATTTTAGTGCGCAGAAATGAATGCTTGTTTTTAAAAAACACTGACTTCCAGCTCCATTATCACCAGACCTTGGTCCTTATAAAGACAAATTGTCATCTGTCTTACATTGTTATGCGTTTCAAATCTATCAGTCATTGGGAAGTGGGTCAAATTTAACATTAAACTTGCAAAAAGAGGTTAAGATATCTATCCTAAGATATCCTTTATCTAAAGGATACGTTCATAAATCGAATAATTCAAAATTCCTGTTCTGAATTCCCCCTGTTCTTTACTAATGAGGGTAAGCGCATATATAAATTGCGACGTACCGACCTTGCGTCGCTAACGCGTGCACAGCGGCGGGTTTGACCCCCCTCAGTGCGGGGTGGGCGTGAAGCACCCCACCCAGGACGGGGCTGCTCAGGCCGAGTATGTCACCGCCACCTGGTGTTAGTAGTTAGTATTGTCAGTAATTCTTTTTTACACTAAAATTGATTAGAGGATTGTTATGAATTATAAATAAAGTTATAAAAAGGTGCTTCACTTGCCTAAAATGGAGTTTTGAGCAAGGAGATGGTGTGTGGGGGGTTGCTGGAGTACTCCCCCTCCGACGAGGACGCTGTGACCAGTGTGACCAGCCAGCTGCAAAAGAAAAATTTTATATTAACCATTAGTTAAGATGATATCTTGAGGAACTCGATACTTTGTTCTTTAAGTCTGCGATTGCGGAGGTTAGGCAATTTTTACAAAGGCCTGTCATAAGATGGGTGACCAAATTAGAATATCGAGTTCCTCCATACTACGAAAGGCATGTTAAGCTGTTGATCTCCACTATTATACTAGTTGACAACCACTCCACTATTATTATATTTTCCGATAATATAAAAGAAACCTGTACTGTCATTTGTAGGACACAAGCCTATTATTAACACCAACCAATCAATACTAGGTCCGCATCATAATTATACGAGGGTCAAACTGAAAGTTCTTAGAACTGGCCACTTATAAACAATATAATAAAAAAATAATTCTAAAATTTTAAAATATAACTCTTTGCCAATATTACTGAGTATATATTTCATTCATTTGTCATTTGTTTTACGATTTGGCGGCAAATTGAAAATTGTCTGTGTCACGTCATCATGAATTTAACACGAGAAAATTTTCGTGCAATGATTTTTTATGACTTTCGATGTCATTTAAGTCAACAAGAAAGTTATGATAGACTACGATTGGCCTTTCACGATGAAGCCCCATCTCGTGCGACTGTTTACAACTGGTTTAATGAGTTTAAACGTGGTCGCACTAATCTCACTGATGATTTACGTGAGGGACGGCCTTCTACGGCGACGACTGAAGATAACATCTGTGTCGTGCGGCGTATGATAGAGACTGACAAAAGAGTGACCTATCAACAGATTCGGACAAGCTTAGGCATCGGTATGAGTCAAGTGCACAAAATCCTCCACGAACATTTAGCGGTCAGGAAGCTTTGCGCACGGTGGATACCTCATAATTTGACTGAGGCTCAAAAACTCCATCGTGTGGATTGGTGTCGTAAAATGATTGAAAGATTTAACGGAGGTGACTCAAATGCTGTGTTCGACATACTAACAGGTGACGAAAGCTGGATTTACTGTTATGATCCTAAAACCAAAAGACAATCTGCTCAGTGGGTGTTTCCTTTCGAGGAGTTGCCAACTAAAGTGAAGAGAGATCGAAGTGCGGGAAAAAAAATGGAGGCCTCGTTCTTTGGAAGGATAGGTCATTTTGCAACAATTGTGTTAGAGGATCAAAAAACAGTTTCTGCAGAATGGTACACTACCAATTGTTTGCCACTTGTCTTGGAAAAAGTTCGAGAGAAACGACCTCGCAGTAGGATTCTCCTTCACCACGACAACGCCTCGTCGCACACCGCCAAGCGAACGATCGACTATTTGGCGACATCAAACGTTGAATTACTGGGTCACCCGCCGTATAGCCCCGACCTCGCGCCTTGTGATTTTTATTTATTTCCAAAAATTAAAGAAAAACTTAAAGGAAAGCGGTTTATGAATGCTGAAGAAGCGGTGGCTGCGTATCGCGATGCCATTGAAGAGACCCCTAAGGACGAGTGGGCAAAGTGCTTTTCCCAGTGGTTCCATCGCATGCAGCGGTGTATTGACGTGAATGGACAATATTTTGAAAAGATATAATAAAACTAATAACTGGCTAATGTAATCAGTTTTTGATTTTCTAAGAACTTTCAGTTTGACCCTCGTATTATGACTTGTTCTCACTTATTAATGTCATCACTTTTGCGGTAAAGACTAATAGGTTATGGTAGGTATGTGCCCCTACCACGGTCCGGTTCTACGCGGGTTATGACGCTGCCGATACCGTGTACCGGACTACACGCGAGGGTGGTACGGGGGGTTTTGCACGGTAGGCCTGCTGTAGATAAGGGGTTCTTTAACCCTCCACAGCAGGAGAGCCCGGGTTCAGTCGGCCTTTCATCCAGGTCGATGGCATGTTAAGGTCAGTTCCCTTCGGTATAAAAAAATAAATAAAAAAGTGCCTCTGAAGTGGTAACAATAATAAGTTGATAAACTTTATTATAAGGCTGAAAACATAGGAAAAGTAGGAAACTGACCTGATGGTGTGCAGTCAGGTGTTCAGGAGCAGCAGTGGGTGCTGGTGGCGAGAAGTCTCGTACACTCGCGCCGTGGCTCACCGGGATGCCCGTCGGCAGAGTCTGTGCTGCAGCAGGCACCGTCGGGAGCTTTATTTGATCGAAAAAAATATACACAAAATTAATTTACATGCTGGTATTTTATTTTATAGTAAATTTGGATCGAAGACCTTTTTCGAGACTTTACTGTGAATGTTTATTATGAGGAGTATACGAAGAATTGGGGAGTATTATGGTGTAACTTGGGCCCAAATAACTAAGATAGGATTTATAATATTTTATTTTATTTTTATTTTATTTTATCAGTATTTGGGAAACAAACAATATTAATAAAATAAAATAATATAAACAATGTCACAAATCAATTAAGTTTCCACCATTAATTAATTCACAAGAGCATGAAACGTGTTAATTGCTAAAAATAATTAAACAATAAAAAAAAATTAAACAAACATTGGAAAATCCCAGATTCACAAATTAATTATTGAGTATTTCTCTCAACTTTTTCCTATAAACATAAATGCTGTTATTAAAAATGTCAATCGAATTAAATTTGTTATTATAAATACTACAAGTTCTATATATATAGACTTTATAAGTTCTTTTTTTTTCGAAGGTATTTTTATTAAATAACTAGCTGTGCCCGCGACTTCGTCTGCGTGGGAAGTATTTTGGTAGAATTATTTTTTTCCTATGAATGGAATGTTGCTGATGCAGCCATGACTAACGGCTTAACGTGCATTGTGCCAGTGTTGTGCACAGTGCTCAAGATAATAATGTTTTGGTCACCCATCCTGTGAACGGTCCTTACGAATGTTATTTTTCTATCTTTTTCTCGTTTCTCGCGCTCTGTTTGTCGCTAGTGTCTGAGCATTTTATTCGTACCTTTAAACTGTCCTTCTTTTTTTTTGATCTTTTAAAATTATTATTATTTATCTTATAGGTTTAATTTTAATTTAATTCTAGGTTGCTTGGAAGAAATAACTGGCTAGCAATGAGTTTCTCGTTTGTACTTAGTTATGTTAGATAAGTATTCAGGTATGTCCTTGTTGTGCAGTATTTACTTACTTATTTAACTGCAATTCAAAGCGAATGCTCTAACCCATTACGCCATCGGGCCTCTTATACCTAAGCTATACTAATATTATAAGAGGAACGATTTGGTGGTTTGTTTGTTTGCATCGAATTTGATTCGAAACTACTGGACCGATAGTTTCATTGCGATACCGACCTACGGGAAGCTACATCAGACGCGGATGTTATAAGCTATATTTTTGCGGTAAAGTCGCGGGAAAACAGCTAGTTTATTATACCCTGTGAACACTTATCTGCGGTACGCCTGTGGAGTATGAAGGCAACACGGGTTGGCGATAATCAAAACTATTTTCTCGATCTCTATTGTGCAAACTGCGAGCTCTTTCAGAGACCAAGCGCATTTCTCTATCATATCATACCATACTGCTTGTATGTTACGATCAGCAGTTAGACGCGCTATGCGATCTTCAGAAGTTTCCTGAGATCAAACGCTTGTTGTATGAGTTCTCCGAGAGCTCAAGAGATTGTCCCTGACGGTAAATGTTTCAGATTCAACTTTATAGTGTATGAGCTTCGCGATGGGCGGTTAAATACGCTTCGCGTTTTTCAGGTGTCTCCCGAGATCGAGCGCTTTTCATTAGATCTTTTCTTTGTCAATAAAAGTCGATCGGTACATGTCTGACGGAAGATACGTAGAGTTTTCTTTATTGATATAAAAAATATATACATATTTTAATTTCGACTTTCCACACTCAAAGGAAATCGTCTACTAACACATACTTCCGAGAGGTGCTTAACTGAAATTAAAAAAAAATAATAATAAAAATAAATAATAAGTAGAGGAGGATGGGCCACGACCTTCCATGCTGGCCCAATGCCAGTCAATGCGGATTGGAGGATTTTAACGACTGCAAATACAACCGGGATCAATCGCTTTACGTGCCTTCCGAAGCTTGGAGTTGCTTGAGATAATATTTTTTTGGTTACCAATCCTGTGACCGACCTTTGCGAAAGTTGATTAACGGCTACAATGACGGGCCATGGCGTTTATTCACTACGCCACCGAGCTACTCTACACCGACCCTCAGACTCGCGAAACATTAAATGAGTGTTGTGACCAATGAATAAGCCACTGTTTCCAGCGAAGTCTGAAAATACCAACTTTGAAGTACGTATCTACAGCAATTTGTATGTAAAAAAAAACAAAAAAAGTATTACATAAAAAATATAAGAGAAAAAAACATATAACTCGAGTTGTCTTTACGTTCTTAACTTCAGGTGACGTTAATCTAACATTTTTAACGTCATGGAAAAGCTACTGACATTGTCTCTGTTACCTGGCAAGAAACAGAGACAATGTCAGTAGCTGGTGTGAGTAGGATTCTCCTCCGTAAACCCGACAGTGAGCTGCCCAGTACTCACCCCAGAGGCCTACCCACCAGAAACCCGTACGCTATACACTCTCATGGGAGATGAAACCCGGCAAGCTATGGCCGAGTCACCAGGACACTCAAGTATTGGTCCATTGGTCCCCTTGCGTCCGTGAGGTAGACCACAAATGCGCTGGGAAGACGACATCAAGAGGGTTGCAGGTTCCAAATGGTTGGAAATAGCTCAATGCCGAGATACAGTAGAGACAGGCTGAAGAAGAAGAAGGTCCCCTTGCAGATGGAAAAATAAAGAGGCTCGGGTAAATCGAGTGCCTCTCCCAGACAGACGAAACTGTGCAATACGGGGGCAGCTGCCATCCACCTCCGCTGGCCCCGACGACGACGTGAACCTATTCTGATAAAAATATGTGTTCACTGTAAACTTCTCGATGCTTAATTGCATCATCTGAAGGCTCTTTTAGCTTGTTCTCTTACTTGCGTGATCTTATAGCACACGTCCATTATAAGCTGAACCCTATTTAATATGATTGGCCATATATAAGTGAGGCCAACTAATTTTGGAGTCGTCAAAATTTTGGAATCTTATTTTTTTATTTGTCATCATACAAATAATCATTTTATAGACAATATTAATTCGTAGCTCGGCGCTACGGATAAGCGCCGTTGCGCACGATCGCTATTGCTAAGCAATTTTCGCAAGAGTTGTTCACGGGATGGGTGACCAAAAATTATTAAACAAAGGCCTGAGGCTCTGCAGTTTGGCTGAGAAAGAGTTAATGATGATGATCAATATACCAAAGACGAAAATTTTACACTTAATATTTATAGAAATTTGGCGAACACGTCACTTCAAATTGACATGACTATTCTTTTTGTGAACCGACTGAAATAAATCTTACACTAAATGTTAACGGAAGAATACCACAATATATAGTAAAAACTACATTTCTATCGGTTCAGCCGTTTATGAGATTATCGTGCACAAACGCACAGACAAACAGACAAAAAATATAAATATCATTGTTTTATGTTCTATTACGCTTATAAATGTCCCTCATTACAGTATTTTCCGTATATCTTCAATGTACAGACATCGATCAGTTACCAGTTACGTTTTTATTATAGTATAGATAGATTTAGTTTCAATGAATTTATAAAACTATATTTTTTCTCACTATTCGTGCAGTGGTGAATTATCAAGCTATACCATACCCTGTCATTGGTTATTGTGATCGCTAGATAGCGTATAATTTTCACGAGCGTTACGGTAAATATGTAAAAACTTAGGAAATGGGTAAAGTCCAATTCGAGGATGTACTTCAATAAAAACAACAAATTAATCATTTTAATGCCTCATGGAAACTGGTCGATGGAGTTAGCACGTTGAATGTGTGTAATCTCTGCGCTTTCACTTCATTAGTCAATAAAACAACCGACTAATGAAAGCAAGGAACACACAGAATTCGCCCGTACAGTTTGGGATGTAACACGCACTAGGGATGTAACAACAGTAAATACGAGTACTAACTCCGTACTTTTCTTTCGATTCCAAGTATTTTGGTATCGATACTTAAGAAGGGAGTAACGAGTATTATCGTTTAGTAAGTATTTGTATCAGTACTTGGTCAGTCACTCACTGAGGAGAGTCAAAAAACTCGTGTGCTCGACTGTTTACTCTGTGGAAAGGAGTCTAAAGTCTGTCTCATGAAAAATTCCCACTGGCGCGGCGTCCCTGTGATATGAGATTGCTAACACCTTCTAATTTTATGTAGTCAAAGATCTATCTAAATAAAACTCTGGCAAATAAAGTTTAAAGTGATATCTAATTATATGCATCGTTTCTATGCCTGGTCCTGCTTCTCTTTCTTCCGTAAACAGTGTTTTACTATAAAATATTTTAACAACATCAAATATATTGCTCAGATTCCAAGATGAGTAGCTTAAGCCCCCTTATTATGAAGTATCTGAGACAAGGAAGGTACCTCAACAGATCCGAGACAGTATAGAAAAGTTCATTTTCTACATTGACTTCAAAGATGACGACACCTTGAAACCGGCGTGTGAACCACTAGGCTACGGAGGTCGTCAACTGACCATCAATAGTAATAAAGCTACTTTTAAAATCTATAAAAATAACTACTATGTTAAGGTATTTGAAAAATAATCCATATAGATACTTTTTATTCGATAACGAGTAGGTAGCGATACTTTATGTCGAGTAAAAATAAAGGTGGTATCGTTTCATCCCTACGGCGCACATCACACGGATGTCGTCAACCATTGTAAATACGACATTAAGAACTACTCTATTTACATTAGCCATTATCCCGTCTTCATACAACTTTTACAAATGAGTCATAAGTCAACCAAACGATAGCGCGTTTTAACGGAAGACAATGCCATCTATCGGGACTAGTACGAATGTAATGGCGATTCAGTATGACTTATCTTACCCTGTGTTTGGTCGTGTCTCTCAACGGCAATGTTTCTTCGCTTCCACTCCTGGAGCACTCTGGTGGCGTAGGCCTCCTCTGTTCTGTCTGTGACGATAATATCTGCATTTCCAACATCTGCTCCTGCCGTATATCATCGTTGTAGTCCTGCAACAGAATCAATAAATATATCTTCCACGAAAACAAAAGGAAAGCGGAATGTATGAGCTCCTTGATTATTCCACGTATATTATGCGGGTTTTGATATTGTTTTATTATGTAAGCAATAGCAGGCCTATTGAGTAAATAAATGAAATTCATAAAACTATCATTGAATTAAATTTAAGTGCTGTTCACGTTCAAGAGACCCAACGGTCGAAAGATTTCAGCGGTTTGTTTGATGGCAATTATGACTAATAAACTCCGAATTTATCGTATTAACTGTTAATTCTGGAACTTAAAAGCATAATGTATTATTCAAATATCGATCCATAAATAATATATGTCCTTTTGACATACATATAATCATACTTACTTCTTGAGCGTGGCGCCATATCCAAAAACATTGCGACATGGACACCTTCGGACTTACACACGCTCAAGAGTATAAAACGTAAGCCTCTAAGTAAAATCCCATTGTTCACCACATCTACAGTGCTTTTGTTTCGAATAACTGCCCTTCAGCTATTTCCACTAGCAGTTTTGAAACTACGCGCGGTTAAACTTTGAAATGCGCAACTAGGCACCTGTTATTTAAGTTTACAAGATCTTTATAGGCACTATACATTATTATACTTCTAAGTATCAATAACAATTCACGATCACTAAATATATTAGCATTAGATCATATTAGCATTAGATACTATATTAGCATTAGATCATATTTTGATCATATTTCAACATAAAGTATAATACTACTTCATGTATTTCTTCTCATTTACCTACTAGCGATTCAATTATATGAATTAATTACACCCGTGAGCCGGTATGCAAAACGAAAGGCGCAAATTCATGTATCCTTTCGTTTCACACAAAGGTAATGTCTATCTAAAACTTGTTTGTGTTAAGTCCCAGAATAAATTAAGAAAAAATAGCAACGTTTATTTTGCACCTAAATAGTGAGCTAAATGATGTAAATATATTAAAAGGGGCTCATAATTTATTAGGAGCCAGGATTAAATTCGTTTATACAAATAAATAAAACGTGTCAGTACGAATAAAATATTTCTAACATTCAGAAATAAAAATAAACTCATTATCAATATTTTAAACTAGCAAAGGGTAATTATCGATAAGGATATAGGTGATTTGGAGAGAATGCGAATTCTTTAATATGTTACTGTTGCCTACTCGACTTGCTGGTAAATCCGTCACTGGTTGATTATACTGAGAGTTTATTATACGAGGGTCAAACTGAAAGTTCTTAGAAAATCAAAAACTGATTACATTAGCCAGTTATTAGTTTTATTATATCTTTTCAAAATATTGTCCATTCACGTCAATACACCGCTGCATGCGATGGAACCACTGGGAAAAGCACTTTGCCCACTCGTCCTTAGGGGTCTCTTCAATGGCATCGCGATACGCAGCCACCGCTTCTTCAGCATTCATAAACCGCTTTCCTTTAAGTTTTTCTTTAATTTTTGGAAATAAATAAAAATCACAAGGCGCGAGGTCGAGGCTATACGGCGGGTGACCCAGTAATTCAACGTTTGATGTCGCCAAATAGTCGATCGTTCGCTTGGCGGTGTGCGACGAGGCGTTGTCGTGGTGAAGGAGGATCCTACTGCGAGGTCGTTTCTCTCGAACTTTTTCCAAGACAAGTGGCAAACAATTGGTAGTGTACCATTCTGCAGAAACTGTTTTTTGATCCTCTAACACAATTGTTGCAAAATGACCTATCCTTCCAAAGAACGAGGCCACCATTTTTTTTCCCGCACTTCGATCTCTCTTCACTTTAGTTGGCAACTCCTCGAAAGGAAACACCCACTGAGCAGATTGTCTTTTGGTTTTAGGATCATAACAGTAAATCCAGCTTTCGTCACCTATTAGTATGTCGAACACAGCATTTGAGTCACCTCCGTTAAATCTTTCAATCATTTTACGACACCAATCCACACGATGGAGTTTTTGAGCCTCAGTCAAATTATGAGGTATCCACCGGGCGCAAAGCTTCCTGACCGCTAAATGTTCGTGGAGGATTTTGTGCACTTGACTCATACCGATGCCTAAGCTTGTCCGAATCTGTTGATAGGTCACTCTTTTGTCAGTCTCTATCATACGCCGCACAACACAGATGTTATCTTCAGTCGTCGCCGTAGAAGGCCGTCCCTCACGTAAATCATCAGTGAGATTAGTGCGACCACGTTTAAACTCATTAAACCAGTTGTAAACAGTCGCACGAGATGGGGCTTCATCGTGAAAGGCCAATCGTAGTCTATCATAACTTTCTTGTTGACTTAAATGACATCGAAAGTCATAAAAAATCATTGCACGAAAATTTTCTCGTGTTAAATTCATGATGACGTGACACAGACAATTTTCAATTTGCCGCCAAATCGTAAAACAAATGACAAATGAATGAAATATATACTCAGTAATATTGGCAAAGAGTTATATTTTCAAATTTTAGAATTATTTTTTTATTATATTGTTTATAAGTGGCCAGTTCTAAGAACTTTCAGTTTGACCCTCGTATAATATCACTTAATATTGTTCTTCGTTGTCTCTCATTATATATCAAAATTCTGTATAATTTTGATATAACCGTTTTCGTTTTGTATAATTCAGGAGGCGGTTTTTGGTACAATTTCGGAACGAATGAAGATTCGAATGATCAATTAACAATGGCGTTTTATTATAAGACACGTCATATCCGTATATTATTGCGTTTTAAAGCGGCGTAAACTTTATTGTGGTAGCGTTATATTGTAATACAACCACAAAGGGTGCGAAGAAATCAAAAATAGTTATTTCCCTATTAGAATCATACAGCATACCTCTTGTTTAGCTTTACGTATCAACTCCAATCTCCCCTAGTCTTAGCACACAATGCACGACAAAATGGCCGAGTTCAATGCCGTTTTATTTAATTTTTTTAAATAAAAAAGAGTAAGTACCAACAGTACCCACTTACGCATAATATTTATAGCTTTTTTGCTTTTCTCATTGTCAATGTGTAATTTGTGCATTGTTTAAACACGCAGCAATGCGTTTTTATACAACTTTTCACAGAAATTTACGAGTGAAAATTATATTAGCCACGTTTGCTAAAACGTGACTAAAGCGAATTGCCTTGCTTTCTTGTTGTCAATGTTGTGCGCGGATAACCTATTTAAACTTTATAATATATCATTGATGAATAAACATAATAAAAACTTCGTAATATAAACTTAAAGTAATATTTGCCTCTCACGCCTACCGTAGACAATTCAAATTAACGACTTCATTTATTTAATATCTTTCAAAAAAGGCGGCGATTGCAATAGCTATGTAACGTGAAGCTTGTGAATATCTATCAAATGTCAAATTGAAAGGGATTCCGACTCACCGGTACTAGAAACCTTCTGAGTTCAGCAAGCGCGTACGCGATTCGTGCGTGAGCTTCAGCTGGTGTCGCAAAAGCGCTTATCTCGACATGTAGCTCGTCCGACAGGTGAGCGAACTTTGGGTCTCCAGAGACTCGTAGTTCCTCCTCCTATGAAATAATTGCATAAATGACTGAATAATTTATTGTTGTCGATTACAGGAACAAGGGAGCGATTGCCTAACGATTTGGCTATAACTTTAGCTATAGCTATAAGGGGCTGTTCAAGCATTAAATATTACGTAACACAATATTCGATGATTTATTGAGCCGCGGTAACAACATGTCGCGGGTAACAATTTTTCATATAACTTGATGTTATTGTTATCTCAAAAGTTCACAGGTGAATTTTTTAAAAACATTTTTTATCAAAAGCATTCTTATTTCAAAATTGATGCTTTCACTTTTCAAAATTGATAAAATACAATAAATAGTCACTTATTTTGTACCCGACTGTCCAAAAGCGAGGTATTGTGTTTATATGTATGTATATGAGTTTCTTTATTCCACCCACAGAAATATATCTAGTTAGAAGGAAAAAGTGTACGTACTTCGCGTGCCGAAACGACGTCTAGACAGCTTCATTGCTCGCCGCGAGGCTCAGTCCACTTTCGATCGCAATCGGTGTTGGACGAAATTTAAAATGATGCGTTGTTCGATAATTACCTGCTCAAACACCACCAATATGGTTGGATCTTATAGTCGAGGTATTTCCTTCCATCGGTAAGTAACAATTTGCCTTGATATATCTATTTTGAATTAAAAATCATTAGTTTTGTTGCTCCGTATTATTTTTATCAAAACGGTCATGTGTCCTGTAATAGCTTTCCATTGCGGCTTTAATTTGACAGTCCAAATTTGCTGTGCTTGTAAAACCATCGATGTATAATTCAAGGTCAATTTGTTGGAGGACAAATTATCATTTTTTTCTGTCAAAAATGGAGAATAGTGCTGTACAATGCGATTTTTTTACCCGATTAAAAATATATCGTTTTTGAAAGCAGAAGAAAGGATAATTAATTTTATATTGAATTTTACTGTAATTTTTGTTTTAGTTTTCCGTATGATCCTAATATTAAAAATAAATGGATTGAAGCAACAAGACTCTAAGGCAAATAGTAGGTATACTTACTGGACATGGAAACTTTAACAAACACCTATATAACATGGGTTATTCTGACAGTCCTCTGAGCAGGGCGTGCATGGAGACTGAGGAGATTGTCTCCTCAGTCTCCATTCCAGTATCACATAAGTGCTTGTGCACTCATGTGATACTGGAATGCAGGAGCCTATTAAGACAAAAGGACTACATATCTATGAAGCCCAAGGATACTAGTGGCAGCATGCGGCAGAGTTCGAGATCTTACGGGCTTCCTGGAGGAGCTGGGGTGGCATGACTAAAGCAACTCCGTGTCATGCAAAATAGGCACTGAGTATCGAGTTGCAGAAAAGCCCGCCGTGAAACATAACATAACAACACAGGACGTAAACATGTGTAGCGTGTCGGGAGGGGGTAGCGGCTACTACAAAGTGTTTGCCCACAGAAAAATGCCGATTTCTATTCTATCGCATAAAATCTTTTTTGCGCCGATTCACTAAATTACATTCGTGAGTTCGTGACATATACATAATATTTAAGCAAAATGGTAGTCTGTCTATAAAGTCATGAAAAAAATTGAGGGCGCTCCGATCGTGCACGTAGCAACCCTGTGTAGTGAGACAAATGATTTTGATAGTAGGATTTTTTTTTTACTTTTATTACCCCAGAAAAGGTAAAGAAAGGCCTATAATTCGTAGACAATGAGTTTATTCTACATTAAAGATTACAATATAGTAATCGTAATTTTTGATAAATCTTTTTTTTTTATAATTGCCAAGTAGTTTTCTCGTTTTACTGCAATGTATGCTTGTGTTCGATTAAAGCCCGTTACTTTGACACTCCTTGTAAGAAAACCCAATATATTTCAGAATTTAACGCAGAACTTCTAGGCTACAATTAAAATCCAGATCAGTTTTGGCAATCCACTGATGTTTTCTTCATGTAGGTACCTCTTTTTTTCACAGAGTAAAAGAACTGAATCTTTTGTCGAAGTGCACAAATGTTGCAGTTAACAATTTATTTCTTAGGACGACTATCTATGTTTCCCAGGGGTTTCAAATATGCCACCATTTTTATAACCTTCATCTACAATACGTATCACTATATTCTCTGATTTTCCTGAAAGTAAGTTTTAAAAATGTATTACCTATATGTATTTGGCAAAAAGAATGGAATCGCCACAATGATCAAATTAATGCTATAATTTTAGTAATATAAAGCACAAACTTTTTATTGACGTACGTAGGTAAAAATCGTACATTCCTAACAGGTATATTTTTTTTCAGATTAAAATTAATGATAAATTTGATTATCCAAAAGTATTGAAAGTTCGGGCCGCACTACAATATAGCCTTCTAACATTTTCAATCTAACCTATAAATGCATAATGTAATCAATACTTCTTTTAGACTTTTAAGTCTAAAAGAAGTATTGTATATGAATTTATTCATATATTTAGTAAATGTGAAACTTCTGGTAACCAAAACTCAATCAGTAACACGATTACATACCAGCCATAACTGCCGTTCGAGCTTTAACATCCTACAAATATGATAAAATGTGTCCAGCTTCTTGTTCCAATAAAAATCACTGAAAAACTTTATAAATAATATCCTGAGCTTCACTCTGATAAATTCTCTTCATTTTTAACACTTTTCGACGGAGTTTAGAAGAAGTAGCTTCAGTTTAATCAAAACAAATCAAAAATGCAGAAAATCGAGCTAAAAAATCAAGTTGTTGACAGTCGATGTACTTTGATTCAGTGTTGTCATACTTGTGTCTAATGTTAGTTCCTCAAACATTCTTTTCATGACTTTATAGACAGACTGTACACGTTGGTCTCCGTCGATCGATATCGTTATTTCAATCGATAAGAATCGATATGCCGTTTCAAATACAACATGTATTCGATGCAAGTGAAATTATGTCTTCCATCACTAAATTAAGATCGTGACGTCATGATACCTATACAAAATGTGGCACGCTCGGTCTCCATATAAATCGACGAACATGTTCCTTCTAACTAGATTTATTTCTGTGATTCCACCATAACTTTTGAAAGACTTAACGGATATATATATATATATGTAAATATATGACGTCATACAAAAATGAAAATAAAAAACTTATTGAATTATGTATTATAGTTTTGATGAGTAAATTCTTAAAATATACAACACGTATGTCTTATTTATTTATTTATTTATTAGACACAATAACAGTTTACAAACCAAAACAATTGTGCAAAACCGATAACAATTGTGCACAGCATTCAAATATTATTAGGTTAACATAAAATTCACAATTAATAATCCGATTTATTATGAATATATATACATAATTTAGATTAAAATGCAAGTTCAGAAATACATGATTGCAAATCATATACAAAATTAAATCAAAACAACATCATAAAAGCAAAATTAAATAGATGAAAAATTACATTCAAGTTAAGTTTTAAATTAAGTAATGGTCAAAACACTTTGTCCTTGGCAGTGTACCTTTACACTTTTCATAAAGGAAGCAAAACTTTGTTGGAATATGTCCACTTCAGTACTAATCTTATTATAATTTCTGCACATGCGATAAAGAGGGTTATTGTAAGAGACATTATACGATGTTATTGGTACATGAAATAATTTCTGAGTGCGAGCTCTCCCTATTATGAGTGATACCATGCTCAACAACTCACCAGTATCCCATTTTGCATTTAATAATTTATAAAAAACTGCAAAGTCATTTAAAGTGCGTCTATTGTGTAAGGTGTCCATTTCAAAATATCGTAGTCGATGTTCGTAAGATGGAAGTTTTCGCCTTAAGCCCATTTTAGAGCTAAGATGTTTTAAAAACCGCTTTTGGATTGCTTCGATTCTATTCATATGTACATCATAATAGGGGGCCCATATAACCGAACAGTACTCTAATACACTACGAATAATTGCATTATACATTAAAATAATGCTATCTCGATTCCTAAACGGTCGTATAGTTCTGAACAGAAAACCTAAAGCTTTATTGCATTTTGATACCATGTACTCATAATGTTGTCTGAAGGAAAGGTGATCATCTATCCACACTCCCAAATCCTTAACTGCAGTGTCACGTTTCAGTTCCTCCTCTCCCACCTTATAAGAGTAGATTACTGGAGTTTTTTTTCGACTGAACGTTAGAAGATGACATTTACTAACATTGAGCGTCATGTTATTTCTGTGACACCAGTTGGACAACAGGTTAATATCATTCTGAAGCGCTACACAATCACTATCACTAACTATTCTATTAAAAAACTTGATATCGTCTGCGTATGCAACACACTGAGAATTAATTAAAAGCAAAAGATCGTTAATAAATACAGTGAACAACAGTGGACCCAGATTGGAACCCTGTGGAACGCCAGATGCAGGCACAAACAGAAATGACTCATATCCATATACTGTCACCAATTGAGTTCTATTCATTAAATATGACTCCAGCCAACGCAACAGGCTACCATGTATGCCCAAGTGATTCATCTTTCGGCAGAGTATCTTATGGTCAACCCTATCAAAAGCCTTGGCAAAATCATTATACAACGAGTCAACTTGCACCCCCTGGTTCAGCGCCACACTGATATAATTAACATATGTGAGTAAATTAGAAGATGTTGACCGATTCTTAACAAAACCATGTTGCCTGCAGCTGATAATGTGTTTAACATGTGAGTATATATGTGAATGCAGCAATCCTTCAAAGATCTTTGCAAAACAGTTAAGAACACAAACACCTCTATAGTTTGAAATCTCCGATTTTTTTCCTGTCTTGAAAATAGGTACTATTTTAGCTATTTTCCAACGATGCGGAAAACAGCCTTGAGAAAGACTCATATTGAAAGCCATTGTAAGCGGAGCCACTAAACCACGAGCACAAACACGAGCAAATACAGGAGGTATACCATCAGGACCTGAACCTTTATTTACGTTTAATGTTCTTAATGCAGATTCTACCTCTTTTTCTGATATCACTACTTTAGATAGACAATGACTAGCTTCCGGGAAGTCCGGTATGTAATTAGTGGTCCGAGAGTTACTATATACCGACGAAAAGCACTTTGCAAACAAATCAGCTATACCTTTCCCGTCATTGGCAGTCTCATTACCCAAGCTCATTACATCCGGAATATCATTGGTGGTTCTTTTAGATTTAGTGTAACGCCAAAACGCTTTTATATCTGTTTTAAGGGCTTCTTCAATATAGCTAATATACCCTAAGAAACATTTTTCTACAGCAATCTTGGCTCTCTTCCTCAATAATTTAAATGTATCCTCATCTCTTGGATTCCTAAACTTGTTAAACTTAGCATGATATTTATCTTTTTCTTTAAGCACATTAATCAGTTTATTATTGAACCAGGATGGATATTTATGCCTGTTAACTTTAGACTTGGGAGTGTTTCTTTCAATTATGTCGTTAAGGTGTTTATAAAACACACCTACAAATTCATCACAAGATATATTTTGATATTGTTCCTAGTCAATTTGATTTAGCTCAGAAATACAAGTCTGGAAATTAGCCCTACGATAATTAAGCCTACTGGTCACTCTCTCTTTGAGTGTACCTTCCAAATCGACTGCAATGTCAACATCCAGTGGAGGATGATGTTTATCAGGCCTAGACAAAGGCTGTGCCTCTCCAGTGCTACAAATTAATCCCGCCGAACTTAAAACAAGGTCTAATATTCTGTTATTATAATTTTAATTTTTTGATCTAAATGAGATGGAATTTTGTGACTTCCTTTATAGGGCAAATTCCATCTCATTTAGATCACTTGAATTCAAGCTACCTGGTTTATTCCATTCCATGCCAGATAGGTTAAAGTCACCAATAATTAAGGTATGACTACAACAAGCATCAAGTATATTATTTTCGCATTTCTCCAAAAAATCATAAAAATCTGCTCCTACCACATATGAAGGACGATACACAACACATAGATTGATATATGATTCCATTAAATAAATTCTAACCCATATGTCTTCACCAAAAGTCTCGTACTCAGTCAAATGAAGTGATTTTAAAGTTTTCCTTATCGCTATGAGCACTCCACCACCATGTGCCTTTTTGTACCTATGTTTTAACCTTAAAGATCTGTCTTTACGATATACCGTGTATCTGTCATCAAATAATTCAGCAGAGTAAACAGTATCATCCAACCAAGTCTCACACAAACAGATTACATCATAATTGTTACACAGAATGTTATTATATAAATCAAGAACTTTAGATTTCACACCCCTTACATTTTGATAAAACAATGAAAGCGCTACCTTATTCATAAAAACAAATGGTTACGTGCATATTACAAAAGTTAAAATAATTTTTCACAATTTTACCAATTAAAAGAGTCCAATACTTCTCTATTCTTAATATAAACAAATCGTGATGTTTCATCTTTCCTCAAGAAGATTCGACCATTACGCACCCAAACAAACTTATACTTGTTTTCTTTTGCCTTTTGTCTTGTCGCAGCATGAAGTACTTTGTTGTCGGGAGAAAGATGCTCAGACACAAATATTGGTCTGCTCTCACCAGCAATTCCGATCAACGATGAAGATAATTTATTATTCATGTGGAATCTATTAAATCTTGCAACTGCAGAGTAAAACTCGTCGCGACAGCGTGTACTATACATTTTCGCGATAATCGTACGTGGACGCTTGCCATCCCTGTTCATACTTGCAACCCTAGTACAGTTTAAGATACTTGAATCCGAAAGTGCATATCCTACCGCATTAGCAATTTTCTTAACTATACCAAAAATATTCTCAGACTTGCTTTCTGGGACACCTTGTATTTCCAGATTAGATTCACGTAAATATTGTTCCAACGAATTCACCCTTTGAATTAAACTTGATGAATTCATGCTCATGTGATTACATTTTTCTATTAGTGCTTTATGGTCATTTAATAATTTATCATATGACTTACTTAAATCATCATACTGATCGCTCACAAACTTTACTGAGGTCTGAAGGTCATTCAGTTGTTTTTTGACAGGTGCTAATTCAGCGGCCAACATAGTTGGTAGTAGTCGTGTGAGTTCCTCTCGCAACGCCGCGCATACCTCATCTCTAATGAAGCTAACAGTCTGAGTCTCTTGACTAGGTTTCCTTCTTAGTGTTACATTTAAATGCGGGTCCTCCGTATCCACAGCCTGCTGTGATCCCTCCCGACGCAGTTGCCCTTGGCGAACAGGAGTCTCATTTTTATTGGATTTAGGCTGCTTATTACGACATCCATCACAAACCCATAGTCGCTTACGTTCCGAATTCATTTGCTTAAATTCATGTTTATTTATATTGGCACACAACAAGTCGTAACCATGATGACAATTATGACAAGTTACATATTCTACTCCAGCAATTACAGACAAGCAACCACCGCATTTCATTCCTTTAGTCGATGACATAATTCTTTTTATGAATCTTAATTGCTTTAAAAACCTCTCATATGCAAATTGGCGCACTACCGAGCAAGCGTCACTTCTGCGTTGTTTTATCTATGGCGCACGTAGTAGTATGCATCGAAGATGCGAGCGCGCACGCAGTTTTGACGGTTGCACTCACTGCCCACCGGCGAGAATCGCTTGTCGATGCACACTTAACCGCTTTGCCTACAATTGTTGACTGACCCCACAAATGTGAATAATAAGTACACTCGCAAATTAATATTGAATTCAATTCTATAAATTACACTTATAACCAACACAATTTTGATAAACTGTAGATTTCTTGATTAAGTTTTAAACTTTACTCATTTCGAGTGAATGGTCACGTTCAAACTATTTAACAACAGAGATTATTATAGAACTTGTACAAACAGGTGTTTATCTAACGATTTCCAAAGACTATTTTAAATAAAAAATAAAATGAAATTAAAAATAAAAAATAAAATGAAATTAAATAAATAAAAAATAAAATGAAATTAAATAAATAACATGACTGTCTAAATTGACACAAAAAATAAAAGGCAAAAAAAAATTAAATAAAAGGTATTAGGCTAAACATAATTCTACTTGCAGTCCCTTGGTTAACAAATGTTTCACAGAGAGGTCCTTAATTGTCAGGTGTACAAGCGCGGCCACCGTAATGATTCTTAAGCTTAAGTGGCAGACACAAAAAGATAACAGGAGATAATAAGTCATGATGATAAAAAGTGCGTGCTGAGCCTAAAGAAATTTGTTAACATCCCTTGTGTTTCTAACTGATGACTTCTAGTTTACAGTAACTGAACAGTCTAGTTTACAGAACCTTCCGATTCCTTCCTTATGTCATTTTCTATTAGTCACAAATTCTTCTCTACTCTAGTCACTTTTATTAGTTAATTATTATTTTATGGCTTTATTTGTTTAATAGTTTTATCCCGCAACTTCATATGCGTATTTCTAGCAGTTTCTAGTGATAAAAGAAGAGGTTCTAATTTTTTTGGTATGTATATGTTCCATAATATTTCGACCGATTCTGATATTTAAAAAAAAATCGGTAGAAACCGAAACAACAGGACCGATTTAAAAAATTCTTTCACCTACTGAAATCTACATTTAACGAGGGTGACATTGGCTATAATTTTCGCAGGCGAAGTCGCGGGAAAACAGCTAGTATTGTATTAAGAGTAAGTAAACTACAATATCAAAATTATCTTGGTGATGTCGTTGTCATTTAAAAGAATACCAAATTAAAAAATGTTCTCATTTAAAGCTAAAGCTTACTACTACTACCACTAGAAAAAAAAAACAAAAATTAATTCACGAAACTACAAACGCGGTTATCGAATTTAATAAATTTTATTTGAAGTATGGCCATCAAATCTTCTCCCGAATCCGAACGAAGTTTATTGAATTACAAATACTAATTGGTTTTCTACACGCGTTTGTTTAATTTTTCATAACATTACCTTCTGTCGGTCTTTCATTGACCCTCGTCCTAGTACCGCCATCTTGCACATAGTGTCTTCCTGTAGACGCTTCAAGGAATTCCCCTTTGGTCCCAGGAGCTTTCCAACGAAGTTGAACTGAGAACAATTAAAGATAATCTTAATTTTTTTATCCATACTAAAGTTAAAAAGAGATCATATTTAATCGTTAATTTGTATTTAATAGGCTCCGAAACTATTGGATTATTTTTTTTTATTCTTTTACCTATGCGGGGCGATAATGGCCCTTTAAACTTATGTCAATTTTAATGGACATATGTGCAACTGGAAGAACGGTAAGTTGCACAAATGTCCATTCGAATTTAATGACGCCTTGAAGCTCTAATGAATGTCAAATTTGTAAGGATAATGTCGCTTTAAAAAGTTGGAAGTTTGTGCAACTGGCTGTGAGGGTACCACATTGACGAGGACGAAGTCCCACCATTTCGCCCGCGCATTTCGCTGATAGTTTAAGTATTTTTTACTTTGTTCTGTGTGTTTGCATGATTTAATGAATATTCAGTAATTACATTGATTCATCGCCAGTCTATTAATGTTCCTACTGCACATGGGACACTGGGACATTATGGAATTGAATAGGGAGAATGGGCGATAACCTCCCACGCGAGCCCATTGCGGGTTGGTAGGCGTTAGCGATGGCGCAGCCGGGACTGATGACTTAATGTGCCTTCCGAAGCATAGAAGCTCAAGATAATATTTTTGGTCACCCATCTTATGTCCGACCTTTGCGAAAATTGTGCGTTGCAGACCTAATCCGTTAACCACTGCACCATTAATTTAAGCGCTGTTGATTAATTCAGGTTAATACCATGTTCACGTAAATACAATCCAATGTAAACTAACTAACTCGCCATAATTTAACAATATGTCCAAAACACACACGCCGACCGAAAACAAAATGTATTTGTTTAGTCAATACAACTTTGTTTTTACTGATAAAACTGATATTGAAACATGGCGGAGGGATTGATCAATCTAAACTTTCAAACGTAAAAAGGCTACTGCGGGTATAAAATGTACAAATACAAATCTAGTGTAACTTTTGTACATTTTTTTACATTTGGAAACTTTATCATGTACAGGTCAGAAGCTGGAAGTGGGAGGTTTATGGCGTATTGGTGTAGTGCGTTTGGTCTGCGATATCGAAGTCAAGCAACCTTCGTAAAAGCCGGCCATAAAATGGGTGACCAAAAATGTATTTTTTCTAACTCCCCCATGCTTCGGAACCAGGAAACAGGATCACATATATTGCTCAGATTCCAAGATAAGTAGCTAAAGCTCCAGTATTATGGAGTATCTGAGACAACGAAGGTAACACAACACCCAGATCCGAGACAATATAGAAAAGTTCATTCTTTACATTGACCCGACCGGGAATCGGACCCTGGACCTCAGAGATGGCGACTCCTTACCACTAGGCTACGGAGGTCGTCAATTGATCATCAATAGTATTAAATTAAAAGGTTAAAGTATGAAATTGCCATTTTATTGTGTGAGTGACGATCGTCTTGATGAGAAATAAAGATCTTTAAACCGATCAAACAAACAAACAATCAAATCTGTCCTCTTTATCATCATCATCATCATTATCAGCCCTTTATTACGTCCCCACTGCAGAGACTCAGGCCCTCCTTATGGATGGTTAAGGAGCATGGGCCATGACCCTTCACGCTGGCCCAATGCGGATTGGCGGGTATTAACTACTACAAATGCAGCCGGGACCAACGGCTTAACCCATTACTTCCCAAGCATCGAAAACATTGGAATTTTTTGGTCAAATTTTGAAATTAAGTTCATAATAGGCTTAGAAAAAATAATATGAAGAAAAAATAAAAATATTAACTACCTTTAATGCTGAGTCAGCCTGTCCTATAAATATGACAGTGGGGACATGAGATCAAAAATAATGAAAGTTATCAATTATAAGAAAATCAACTTTATTTGAAAACTATGACCATAAACAGTTTTAAATGTTAAGTTTTAAGAGCTTATTTTATATGATAAGGTATAAAACAATCATTTTTTTCACATTTAGCACAAAAAGTAAGAGGTTTTTTTTTACAATCTTGTCCCTGGCAACGCCTCTGTTTGTCTCTTTTCGTCATATAGTGACCAATATTGTCAAACCCGATAGATTGTAAAAGACTTTCTGATGTTCCTCTGCCTGGTTTATTCATCCAAGCAAAACAAACCCTACGCCTGAAATCTAGTAGAGAGATGGTCTCTTCTTTATTTACCTCGTAAATAATCCATGCATTTATTAGGGACATGTCTAAAATACGAATGAATATAGGCCAATACCATTTTTTACCTCTAAAGCGAATCGGATATTTAGAAATCAGTCAATCATGTTTATCCATTCCTCCCATGTTTTTATTATAATTATGAATAAACTTTGGCTGATTCACAGCTACTTTTGCTTTCTCTGTTTTTGAGTACCTATTAGTTTTTACAAAAGATTCTATAGTATCAAAATTTGTTAAAAGACATACTACATTGTTATCATGCCATTTCACGCATAATATTTCATTATTTTTATCAAAACGATGATTGGAATATCCACGGTCTTTCTTTTTCATTTCTTGTTTAGTCATGATAGGACATTTCTTAGGCCTGTTGTCTCTGACCGTCCCTGTAGCTTTGAACCCTTGAGATTTCAAATCGATTAACAATTGCATGCTGCTAAAAAAGTTATCAAAGTAAACTACGTGTGTACTGGGATCTGTACATACTGCAAGTAACTTTTTCACAACTCTTGAACCCAAACCATCACCATTATCAGAGATTTGAGTTTTCTTGCCTGTATAAAGCGAAAAGTTATAGCAATATCCGCTGACTCCACATAGTGCCCAAAGTTTGTATCCAAACCTCACTGGTTTACCTTTTATAAATTGTTTGATCCCATGATGACCAAAGTATTTGACGATCATCTCATCAACGGCTAAATTGGATTCAAATATTCCAAACTTTCGGAAGGACTCATTAGCTTTTCTCATTAGCTCCCATATCGTCGTCAGGACCTTCTTCTATGTCAGTCATTTCGTCCACTTCGTCAGGAGGTAATATGACAATTTCAATGTCGTCCAACTCCTCATCTCGATAATCTTCTAAATCTTGAAGATAGTCTGTGATTTCGGACACCTTCAAAGCTTTTTATTTACTGGATTCATGATCTATAAAGAATAAAAACATATAATTTACACCTTTACCTAACAACTAATAGGTATATTGTACAAAATTAAAATATTTTTAACTCACCTTTTCACAACCTTCTACGTAATCACTATTTTTGAACTCTAGTTTGATAAATAAATCACAATTGTATCACGACATGTAATGTGTTCGGAACTAACCTTTCGAGTAATGTAAACACAAGACACGCAAGAGACAAACAATTGAAACGTTTGAACTAGTGCGTTGCAAGATCGAACGTGCTGTCGCGGCAAAATGTATAGACATGTTCCCAGTGTCATATTTATAGTACGGCTTATTTTGAAAGAATACCACAAGTTTTGAAACCATGTTTTGTTTATGATTTAATTTTGTATACATTTAGTAGAGGTCTAAGAATCAGTTTTATATACATTGGAGTTGGCAAGTTTTTTCTTTTATGGTATATAAAATCAGAATATAATTCTTTTTTTCTAGGCAACAAAATGATCAATTTGAAAAAATTACATTAAATTTATGGATACAATTTTTGCAGTAAAAAAAATATATAGATACCAGAAAAACAGTGTAAAAATACGAATTTTATCTGAAATAATAAAAATAAATGATTTAAAAGATATAAAAAAAATGTTGAAAATGGTGTCTTAAAAATATGACAGTGGGGAGGAATGGGTTAACGTGCCTTCCGAAGCACGGAGTAGCTCGAGATAATAATTTTTTGGTTACCCATCCCGTGACTGACCTTGCGAAAGGCACATATCGCGGCGCGCGGCGCATATCCACCACGCTATCGCTCTTCTCCTCTTTATAATATTATAGTGTAGATTAGACTCTAGGTAGTGAGTAAATGACAAAATGCAAGTAGTTGAGATTGTATTGAAATGCGATTATTACATAAATATTTGCAGTGCTATTAATAAACAAGGATTAGCTTCAGAGTAAATTTACGCTAAAATTATAATTTGAGTAGTAGTGCAAATTCATATTATACAGAGAATAAACAAACCTACAACCTTCTAGGAGTAAATATTACTCCCGTAGAATATCTAACTAGATTAATGTTTGACTAATACTAAATGCAGTCTCAGCATAAATCTACTCCAACGTTAAACAACACTGTAGCAGACATGGCCTGCTGACGATAATAGGATTAATTAACTTTTAATGATTAATGCGTGGCGTTGTATATATATCAAATTTTACAATGGTAGGTAGTTTTTTAGTGAACGTGTATGACAACTTGAAAGTTGTAGGTAAAGAAAAAGTTGGTGACTCAAAGTATTTTTCATAAGTTCATTTGAATAAAGCTAAGTTTATCTTTGACCAAAAAGCAAATTAAGCAGTTGGTTTTGGCAACAACTGTTGTCGTTTATAACAATCACTCCACTCTACAATGTTCGTTTTTGTTGCTGTTAACAACAGTTGTGGACAAGACCATGTAACTATGAGTAAAAGATTGTTTTTTTTTGTGTTTCATTCATTGGAACGCTTGTACTACTGTTCTTGAGAAAAGGAATAGTTATTAAATAAATAACCATTTAATATTCTTAATCTCACATTAATAACTCGTAAAAGATAGTGTAGATACTATAATATTATATCTTAAGATAAAATATCATTCGCCGTATAATCCAATAGCCCAACGCACACGGCTAAGATAAAATAATTTTTTCATATTAAGTATATTAAGATGGTAAGCGATAAAAAATATATATTTTTTTAAGATACGAAATATACATTTCGTAGGTTATCTTAAGACACGGAAATATATATTTATAAAGGATTCAAAATATTATAGCATCTTAACCGTCTGTTACGAATTTAAGACTGATGTGAATTTAATGCATTCTTCATATAAGCTATAAAGTGTAATAAAAAAAAATATGTTGTACGACTCGTATATGATT